CACACAGATAGCATGTTTTTTGTCCTCCGCATTGCTGCTACTTGCAGCAGCGATGTTCCCTACCTCCATGTCCCAGCTTGACTCCACACCTGGGATCCCGTTTTCCATTTCCTTTCCCTTCCCCACATTCTTTGCCCTTCACCACTATCTCTACATCTAACCCTGCTCTCTTTCCAATAGTTCCACTGACAGCAGCCACAGCACTCTGTTCAACAGGCTAACTTTCCATAGTGCAGGAGAGTCTAAGGTTTCCAGGAATCTTACCCGGATGTGAAATCCCCCCTCCTCCAATTTAGTAGGTGAAATCCTAAAAATTTAGAGGTCTCAGAGATTTGCACGGTTCAGCAAGGTATCAGACCCCGCGCGGCCCAAGATAGCAGGGTGCGAGTGCAATGTGCTGTACAGCACAATACCCGATTTTCGTATCCTAACGCTCGGAATGCGTGCTGCCGGTAGTTACGTTCCAGGCATCACGATTCATCGCATCAACCAACCCATAGTACTAGCACTGCACTGCACCGCCAACTCCAAATCTGTAAAGCTAAACAGCCACAACCTCCACACTTAAAAGTTTTGATATATATGTCCAACTTATTGCTCCCTAGAGATTTGTAGAAAGAACTTTGAAAATATTAACTTAATCAGGAGCTAGGCTGATCCTAAGTCCTGATTGAGTGCCTGCCGTTGTCAGGCATGAGGCTAACCCTAACAAACAATATCCTAATGTTATTCTTCACAATTGGGAAGCCAAGACACAAACCAATACCGTATCAGGAAACCATCACCTGCTTAGCACGCGACTTTTAATTAGACGATGTGAGCCTTCAGCGAGACGGTACCCTCACCGAGGCGAGGCGTTGTCTACCACCTAAAATACTGCTATTTGCCACAATAAAGCGACTTTGAACCCTTATCGCCTCGTTGAGTTATAACATAATATTCGTAACAATAACTAGCTACAAGTCAGGGTGCCGCCTCTCTGAGGGCTCACACGGTCTACCACGAGTGCAGACTTGCAGCCCCGTGACAGAATGGCAGCACTCGGGTACTGTTGTCCAACCCTTTTGTTTTTTTCAGAAGGCACAATCACAAATCCGAGGCAGTACTCAAGCATGTCTCAAATAATATTGCGGGGCGTCCTCCCGAATCCACCAAACCGAGAATGTAGGGGACTGTCTCCTGCAAGCCGACAAATATTGAGGCTAATGGGAAATTACCCAAGACCGATTTTCTACGGCCACCCAGAGTCGGCAAGAGCTATATCGGATAGCAGTGTAGACAGAGCCTCAGTGAAAGAAAGAAATATATTTCCAACATGGGGAAGCCAATGCTATGAGGGCAGAGGACAGAATATTCCCATAGGATGTTTACATACTAATCCGTCCCCCAAAAAGATCATGCCCCAAAAAATATGCTGGTCGCCATGCTCGAGCAGGTTTTTGGTGTATTTCCAGTGATCCCGAGTGGCATTCAAGTTATTTTAAGACCGATGGGAGGTCACAGGCGGCCGGGTATTTGTTATTTCCCAGAATTTCGAGGAATTTATTGACTATTGCTTTCTTACGGATAAACCTTATATCTATTAACCATGTCGAGTTTACACCAGAACACGGACTCGGTCCCCGCATTCGCCAAAAATCATTCTTTGTGAGCCCCTGACCATTATAACATCTCTAACCAGAAGACCACATGCTAGGGGTAAGATAGAGAATTGCATGCTGCTAGGGTGGCTGTTTTGTCCATACACCCAAGCGCATACACACAAGCAAATTCCTCCACACACGAGTCGACACGACTGGATAAGGACACTACTCCTCATGCCATGGGTAGCAGTCCAGTGGCAGTTATCTCAGGGGAATTCTGGGATCCATCCCGGAGACTATGTATAGAGAAGGCCGGGAAACCCATTTTATGTTGTCCGCCGACTTGTATATCTAAATTTCTACTAGCTCCCCAGATACCCGAACTATCCTACAAGCAACCAGAATCCACCGCAGGGGAAAGGAGCCGATAAAAAATGAGCGATAGACCGGGGTCAGGAAACACGAGTAATATAGCGGCAAAACGGGCAAAGCCGCAGTGTGTAGAGAGAGGGAAGGGTTTGGACGGCCACACCGGCATCGTCCTTTTGTCTTGAAAGAGAACCACAGGTAGACAAACCATATCACCCTGGCTGTCGCGAGAGAATCGACTGACCTCGCCATCGCCAATACTGCTCCACCACGCACATTACTACCGAGCCATCAAGGGCTCATAGCGGTAACTAACAAAGTTTCACCAACCCACCCACCCGCCCATCCCATTTCGCCCAAGAGAACCCTCCACCAAACCGACATGAGCTCACTTGACAATTACGGAAATATATTTGGCCTACCCAAACTGCCCACAAATTGTGAGTCCTTCTGACCGCACCAGTCCCTTCTCCGAGACACAGTTTCTCAATAAGAAACCATGCGAAAATAGCCCCGCCACCCTCTAATCACGCAAAATCACTCGCACCAAGTTCTCTATCTATTATAACCACAAACCCACCAAACCACCCACAAAGGAAGGGCGTGTCACCCCAACCCCATCCACTAAGTTCCACTATGCGTAGTTCTTTAGAACCACCAATGTTGCGGACACCCTAACAAGTAAAAGGTTGTGATGCCAACTAGGGAGATCACGAGGATGCTCCGGCGCGATATAGGCTACAAAGGGCGGGCATGGAGAGGGCTTGGTAAACCACCGTTTAAGCAGCAAGACGACAACCCCTAAGAAGCCGACGATGAGGACTAAACGCACCGTCTCACGGGCCCGTGAGATTGTGAGATTGAACATGGAGGTACGGCGAAGCCGGCGCCAAAACAGACAGAAGTACCCAACTCTTTCCAAAGTCTCTAAAATCTGAAATGAAGAAGCAGTCCACCTATGGTATAATTGATGGCTTCACCTCACCGAAATTTGCAGGAACTTACGGTAAGTTGGGAAACATGTCCCGGTAACTCACGTTCTGGCGACCTTAAAAAGTGCCCAGTATACACCCCCGGTCATCCAAACATCCTCCCCAGCGATAGACCATTCCCGGGACAGCTGAGCGTGGGCATGGGGGAGGTGAAAAATAAAATAAAAACACCAACACGAGGGGTAAGAATCCAGCCAGAGTGAAGCAGTACCGTACCCGAGTCGATATGGGTCAGCTAAATTGAACGCAAGCTAGTCCTTCGTGTTATTCAGGCCTAAGAATTCAGGGGGCAATCCAGAGTCAAATAATTTGATTCGATCCAAATTGCGAAAGAGAAAAAAAAAAAAAAGGAAAAGGAAAGGAAAGATTATTAGTGGGAGATGGACCCGTGTTTGAGTACCCGAGTGACCAGTTGTGATAGTACCCGGATATAAAAGTACCGTAGCTACAAGTAAAACCTTGTAGTATCGGTACCCCAAACAGGAACGGTGATCGTACGATAACCGGGTTAACAATAGTGCCCCCCCCCCCCCTCCCCCGGTACTAGTATGAGGGGGGGGTAGGGGGGGGGAGCACGGACGTCCAACCACAAGATTTGTCAGG